ACCCAGAGGTTGCTTCCAAGCCTAGGGTTGCTAGCCTCCAGATGCGACCTGAAAACATCCCAGAATTACAACTGAACTCCAGACAATAGAGATCTGTTCTCCTGGACAAAATGCCTGCTTTGGAGGGTGGACTGTATGGCATTATATTCAGCTGAGGTCTCTCCCCTACCCAAACTTTGCCCTCCTCAGACTCAACCCCAAAATCTCCAGGAATTTTCAACCTAAAGATGGCAACCCTAAAGAGGCCTGGAGTTTACCTTCAAAGGCTAAAGTAGGGCTTGAAAGGGCCCTGACCGCCTTCCCCTACCTTTTTCCTCACAGAAACTGAAGACTGGAATACCGTGGTTGCCTAGCAACAGCCACTGAGTGAATCTGTTGCTAAAAGCTACAGGTACTCTTTTTATCATTTTCAGATTTTTTTAAAGCTGCCTAGTGCTGGGGGTTTTTTTTAGATTTCACAATATTTTTTTTGCAAACCTAGAGCCCTTCTCAGGTTTGTCCAAAGATCTATCTTGCCCAGTCACAGCTCCAGTCACTGGATTTAAGTATCCAAAGATATCCTGAGTTTGCTCTTACAATATGAGATGACTGACATCATGGCAAGCTTAAAGGGTATAATAGCGATCCTAAAGTGGGAATGACCAACTTCTGCAGATTTGAGAGACTGAATCCTGCCTGGCCAATCTGTCTGGGGCCCAAATCCTACCAGCCATGGTGTCATGGTGGTTCCACTATACATTACCTGGGGGGGGGGGTGTCTGGCCCTATTTTGACAAGTTGTCACCTACCTAGTGAAGACGGTCTCACACCAAACCAGTGTTGCCGCCGCCACCACCACCACCTCAGCTACGGCCCTGTTCCGTAACATCCTGGTTCTTCTCACACGAAACAGAAGACCTTTCAGCATTCTGGGGTGCCTTTGAGAATGTCTCAGCCCCCACCTTTCCTTTTCTATTCAAATAGATTAAAACTGGTTGACATTTGTAAGAAAGGTGTTCCCTAACATGAAGACGAATCGACAGCAGGCTGCAACACAGGTCAAGACAACTCAACTGGCCACCGAAACATATGAAAGAATCTATTATTAGCATTTCCCCTCTGCTGGAGAGTCCCCGCTTCACTGGTGGTTCTGTAGTGTTCAGTCCTATTTAATCATCACTGGCAATTTAAGTGGAAGTTCTGGGCAGCTTCAGGAGAACCCATTATCAAAGAAGAGAAGAAGAAGCCATTGGATTTATACCCCACCCTTCACTCGGAGTCTCAGAGCAGTTTACAGACTCCTTTCCCTCCCCCCCCACAACAGACACCCTGAGAGGTAGGTGGGGCTGAGAGAGCTCTCCCGAGAACTGCTCTTTCAAGGTCAGCTCTGACAGAACTATGGCTTGCCCAAGGTCTTCCAGCAGCTGCAAGAGGAGGAGTGGGGAATCAAACCCGGTTCTCTCAGGTTAGAGTCCGCGCTCCTAACCACTACACCAAACTTGTTCTCACACCAAACCTGGGCAACGGAACTCTTTCTAATAACTCGAAAAAATGTTTAAATGTGTAAACGTTTGCAATGTAGTAAAGGAGAAATGAAATAACAGCAAAAAAGAAACCGCTGGAGAGAGGGTGCTTTCTCAGTCCAGCCTCCTCCATATTTTCTTATCCACTGCCAAAGGTTAAATCCCTATGGTGGGACTATATGCATGGACACATCTGAAGTACATTATACAGAAGTGACTCCAGAATCAGGAATTTCCTTTAAAAAGAGGGGGGGGGAGCAACACTTCACCCTCTGCATTTCAAAACAGTAAGAAGTGCCCACTTTTCTTAAAGGGAGCTTACTTTGCATAAAAGACGTCTGATGCTACAGACTCTCCGTCACTTTAAATCAATGTGCATCTGTAAGTCACATCATTTACCCCCCCCCTTCATTTCCTTCTGCGGCGTTTCAGCAAACGCAGGGCAGTCTGTCTGTCTCTCAAAACTGCCGCGCTTGCATCACCCGAGCAGCGCTTTTTGTCAAGGGATCCTGGGACTCGGGCAGGGCTGAATCTGTCGGCCTGGCATTCATAAGGGAGGATTTATTTCAATATGTTGTTGAAACTACCTTGTGTCAGGTTTATCTGTCTCGGGGGAGATGTACATTTCTTATCGCGCACTGCGCCATCTGTTAAAAGACGCAGCCACTTGTCTCTCGGCGAGGAGACCACAGATGGAGAGTTTTCCCCCTTGTACGCCGAAACTGTCAATAGATGACAAAGCCTGGTTTGTTTGCAGCCAGGTGGAATCACCGAGGAGGAAGAGAGGGCTACCTGGGTGCTCTTCCACAGGTCGACTCCATGTGTGAAGGTTGACGGAAGAAACAATGGCAGTCAGCAAGGAAGGACGAGGGAAATAGCCCCAACTCCATGCAGGCACAATATTCAGGACTGCACATTACGGAAGCATCACATTATTAACTATACATATACATGCCCAGCCCACATTTCCGAACAAGGACATTTCGAAAACCTTTACTTAATTGTGCAAGCAAAGCCACTGGCTTCAATCTGCCCACTTTGCATAAAGAGGCTGTTCGGTTTGCGTATTTTACTATCTCAGCCACTAGTAAGTTTGTTTTGTAATGGCAATAATCATAGGCCCGTAACTACTGGCCGTGTGAAGTACGATCAGAGCAGTTCTACACATTCATATGCAAACAGGTCTGCATATTCAGACCAATCCACAGTACAGAATGGTTACAGAGGCTGCACCATTTCAGATGGCGGGGGGGCATGGTATACTTGAAGTCCTGGCCCCACGGGTGGACCTCCTGATGGCACCTGGCATTTCTGGCCACTGTGGGACAGAGTGTTGGACTGGATGGGCCATTGGCCTGACCCAACATTGGCTTCTCTTATGTTCTTAAGAATATAAGAAAAGCTCTGTTGGATCGGACTGGTGGTCCATCTAGTCCAGCATCCTCTTTCACACAGGCGCCTTGGCGGTCCAACAAACAGGACACAGAGGCCAAGGTTGTCCTCAGTGTTTCTGACTACCACTGCTATTCAGAAGTTCCCTTTAGTCAGCATGGCCAAAAACCATTGATCGATGTGGATCTCTCCTCCATTAATCTAATCCCCATGTCGAGCCGTCTCTGCTCATGGCTGTGAACTGCACAGTTTCATTACTCATTGAATAGAGAAGTGCTTGCCTTTATTCTGTTGCTCATGAACTTAGTTGTGTGCCCCTGAGTGCTAATATTATGGGACAATGAGTTGGCCGACCTCCAAGCGGGGCCTGGAGAACTCCCAGAATTACAACTGATCTCCATACGACAGAGATCAGGTCCCCTGGACAAAATGGCTGCTTTGGAGGGTGGACTCTATTATACTACTGCATTATTCCCTGCTGGGGTCCCTATCCTCCCCGAGCTCTGCCCCCCCCCAAATCAAGGAATTTCCCAGTCCAGAGTTGGCAACCCTATGGCACAGGAGAAGAAGCCTCTCTCTGTACAGAGCCTGCAAAGTTCCTTTTTTATGGGCAAGAGCTGCTTTGGAGGGTGGACTCTATTATACTACTGCATTATTCCCTGCTGGGGTCCCTATCCTCCCCGAGCTCTGCCCCCCCCCAAATCAAGGAATTTCCCAGTCCAGAGTTGGCAACCCTATGGCACAGGAGAAGAAGCCTCTCTCTGTAAATAATTTTATAAGCCTCCACTGTGCCCCTCCTTAGTTGTCTCTTCCCCCCCCCCAAGTTATCTCAACTAGCTCTATTCTCTAGAGCCTGCAAAGTTCCTTTTTTATGAGCAAGAGCCTGTCTGTGAAGAAATGTGAACCTATGCACAGTCATTTCCCTAGGTTAAAGCCAAGCTTGCACGGGTAGTTAAGATGTACATTCTGACCAGGACATATAAATATGGCATTTTTCATTTGTCTTAGTTCTCATGCATAATTGTTGTAAACATTCCATATCACCTGTTTTCTTTGTGTTCCTTTTCGGTCCTTTTCTTTTATGGTAATTTGACAGTGTTCATAGAATCACAGAGTTGGAAGGGGCCATAAAGGCCATCTAGTTCAACCCCCCGCTCAATGCAGGATCAGCCTAGATCATTTCTGGCAAGCGTTTGTCCAGACTCCACTTATGCATGCCATTTTAAAGCATTTTACGCAATGTAATCATTATGCATCATTTTATGCCATTTATATACACAAAAAAAGGCATCAAACAGCAATTTAACAGCAATTTGACTGCTGGAGTTTCTTATTACAGTGGGGGGGGGGAGGAATGTATGGTAATTTGACAGTGTTCATAGAATCACAGAGTTGGAAGGGGCCATAAAGGCCATCTAGTTCAACCCCCCGCTCAATGCAGGATCAGCTTAGATCATTTCTGGCAAGCGTGTGTCCAGACTCCGCTTATGCATGCCATTTTAAAGCATTTTACGCAATTTAATCATTACACATCATTTTATGCCATTTATATACACACAAAAAAGGCATCAGTTTTAACAGCAATTTAACAGCAATTTGACTGCTGGAGTTTGTTATTACAGTGGGGGGGGATGGCTGCCATTTTGTTCTAGCCATAAAGAAACTCCAGCTTTTGAATTAATCCAGAGTAACCACAAAATTCATCCATCTCTCTTTCTGAGTCATTTAGCCAGGTGAGGTCTTCTGTTTCTTTAATTGCACGGGATTTTAAAACCTGACACCTCTGGGGTAGGCTTCTCCATTTTTATTGATTAGAACATTTATATCCACCCTTTCATTGTGGTTCCAGGTAGCTCACAATTTTCAGTCTGCTCTCACATTGGCAGCTTTTGCAGCCTTTTCTCTATGGCCAAATTGCCCTTTTGGCCCACCTTGATGGGTATCAGCCACGTGGAACGTACAACTGCGCCAATGAATACCATCCTTTGGATAATATGCAGAGCTGTCAGACTCGAGAGTGCGATGATGCTGGGCTGACCTGATTGTCTGACACCATTAAACTAAGCAAATGAGACACATGGGCAAAGGCCTCGGTAGACTACTAACCTCCACAGAACACCTCTGGGTCCCGCTGTCCTTTCGCAGTATTGCCAAACAGAACTAGGAGCAGCAGGGGCAGCAGGAGCTCCGACTGAAGCACAGCCATCCCCGTGTATCGGTCTGAGGAGACACACAAGGCAACGGTGAACAAATGTGCTTCTACTACTAGTCAAAGTTCAAAGTCATTTATCACGGTATTACACCCACATGAAACACAGAATAAAATATACCATCGTCATCACCCACAATCGTTAAAAGTGAGAGGATTTTAAGCTTCAAGACTTAAAATTTATAAAATTATATGTATTACATTGGCTTAAGAACATAAGAGGCGCCAATGTTGGATCAGGCCAAAGGCCCATCCAGTCCAACACTCTGTATCACACAGTGGCCAGAAATACCAGTGCCATCAGGAGGTTCACCAGTGGGGCCAGGACATTAGAACCTCCCACTGTTGACCCCCCCAAGCACCAAGAAGTCACAGAGCATCACTTGCCCCAGAGTCCTTATCTTGTGGCTAATAGCCACTGATGGACCTCTGCTCCATATGCTTATCTAATTCCCTTTTGAAGCCGTCCAGGCTTGTAGCCGCCACCACTTCCTGTGGCAGTGTCTTATGTCATACTTTGCGTTTCCTTACTTTCTCAACTGTTCAGTTGAGTTTTGCAGGCTACTGCACAGAATTTCGCACAAAGTGCAGCCACCTGTGGGTTTTCTCCCAGGAGCAACGTTTTAACACATCCCGAATTTTAACACCCAGGGTTTCTGCTGAGCAGGGGGAAGATATACTTTGAGCCATACGTTTGATAAAAAGGGCAGTAAAGGAGGACATGCTCTGTTGTTTCTATCTCGCTACTGCAACAAGGACGTGATCTTTCATTCAAAGGAATCTTTTTATATCAACCCTCTACTACCACTGTGGAGCTGCGGTGGCTCAAGTGGTTAAGATGCTGAACTGCAGGCTGTGGAAGGTCAGTAGTTCAGCAGTTCGA